GGGGGGGGTTGGAAGGGGCGGGGCCAAACACATGATGAAGAAAGTGCTGATATACATTGGTTGTGCTCTGAAGTCAGCCCCTGGGCCTCAACTTGACGACTTCTTCCAGGTATGATTATGAGGAGGTGGAGGCCGAGGGCGCAAACAAAATGATGAAAGACTTGGAGGCCCTGATATCTGATCGCTCCTTTGTGGGGAAACAGTTGTCAGTGGGTGAGAAAGTTTACACCGTGGAAAAGGTTGATAACTTCGAATACAGTGACCCGGTGGATGGAAGCATTTCAAGAAATCAGGTAGGAACAGATTTATGTGTCTGGGAGAGAGGCCTCAGAGCTTTGTCCCTGAAATCTCAAGGGAAACCAGAAAAAGGCCCCTTGGTCATTTCTCGTTTGCTGCCCTGTTTTTCTAGGGTAGCTGTTCCGAACTGGTTTTCTGCTGAGTCGCACATGACTTGCACATATGCTTGTAGGGAATATGGTTTTTACCCTGGTCGTTCGCCCTCCCCTGTGCCCTCATTCTGGAATTTTTAGCCAGAGGAATTTTTACACCCTCCAGGATCATACGCAAGGTGTCGTGTTGAGTGTATGTGCAGAAAAGAGCCCCAGAGCCAAAAAAAAAAAAAAAAAAAAAAAGTGGAGAACTGCCTTCAGTATTCATCCCCCTCTTTACGCCCAAGAGATTCTAGCAGAAAGCCAGCATGAGGGTGTCGTTATTACAGACTGATATATTCTAATTTCTAAAAAAGGAGAGAAAAATAGATAAGCCATTCACAGAGACCTTAATTGTTATCTGCAGCACGGGACTTGCAGCCAGCCCTAACACAGCAGTGCATAACACATCAGCGTTGAGACCCTGGACCGTGTCTGGCTGGAGACAGAGCTGTTAGGGCTTTCCTCATTGGGTGCCAGGGACCAAGGCCGCAGGCTGGGTCAGCCCTTCTCCAGGCTTCTCGGGGCCCAGGTTCCTCTCTCCTCTGGTCTGTTGTTGTCATTTCAGAGTGGACTTGTCTCTAATAACTTAGAAACAGGGATAATAAAGAGGAAGTTGCAGATTCTATTACAGCTTTCTTGTGTGCTTTTTCCTGATAGATTTAGATTTTTGGCCTGGTCCTTCTCAAGGCATCTGACAGGCTTTGGAGGAAAGGGGGGGGAGTGAGGTTTATTTAAAATTTCTCTCTGGAGAGCAGGCCGTGGATGGAGCATAGCCACAATGACCCTCGGTGCCTGGGCACCCCCCTCCTCAAAAGTTGAGCACAGTGGCTTCTCTTTCTTGTGCCTTTTCACCATCTGTGAGAACCTTGGGCCCAGTATGGACGATTGTAAATTATGTCTGAGATAATTAGAAAAAGAGAGGCCTGGGGTGGAGAGGGGTGGAGGGTGTAGAACAGGGGAGGGTGGGGCCCAAGGGAGGGCAGAGCAGAACTGAGCAGAAGTTTTTGCCGTAAAGCTTTCAGAGAGAGAACGGATGTTTAGGAAAAGTAACCCCCAACTCAACATGGCATGCAGCCTCTGCTAGCAGGGGGGAAGGGAGCGGAGGTGTGCAGAGGGGTGTCGGCATAAGCACAGGTGAGGAAGGGGTCAGCAGCTCCACCTTCTATAAGGAGAAAGTCTGAGCATTTAGATGGAAGACCAGGTAGGAGGGAAACTCTTCTGAAGTAGACATACCATCTACAATCAAGTGCAGAGAATTTAGAAGCTTCAAGTTGAAGCCGTGGGAGAAGGAGACTAATCCTGGTATGTTTGTAGGAAGCAAGACATGGTGAATGGGAATTAACTAGATCTTCCCATGATGGCTAACTCAAGACTGTCCCCTGTGTCTTTCATCTGCTGTCTCCACTGCTGAATGGTAACCACTGGATGGGGTTTGGCGACCACAGCGCTGAGGAGTAGTGTAGTGTCTCTCCTTCTGGTCAGCCCTCGGCTTTACACGTAGCTCTTCTCTGTACGGAAGGACTGACAGACTCATGAAGACTGAAGGGTCCTCAAATAAGTGTCTTCCACAGCCTTCTTACCTCATGTCACACAATATCTACCCAGGAGCCCCCAACTTTTTCCTCTGAAGCAAGATTATTGGGGATGAGAGATGTGGCCTCCCCAGGGAGGGAAAGGAGAGAGCAGCTGAGAGAGGGGTTGGGCTTGGCATTGTACCCACATGGACCCACTTTGTGTCCTCAGGCATTGATAATGGCCAGTCTCTGCCATTTGGGGCACTCTTGGGCGTTCTCTATCAGTGTTTTGCAAAGACTTCTTTCTCTGATCGGCCTAAAACCTCTTCTGCTCTGGTTTCAACCTGGTCTGTCCATGTTTCCCTCCTGATCTGGGGATCAAATTTTTGCATATGGCAGCTTATTTATTTATTTACTTTATTAAGCTTCAAACTGGAATGGTTAGTCCATAAATCACAGGGAAGCAGGGAGGGGAGGGCAGGCCTGTTGTCACCCAGCCTCCCCGGGAAATGGTCTCCCGCCTGACCCTGCGAATGCTTCTCCCCCATGAGCTTAGCCCCCATTGTGTGGATGCGGTGACAGATTGACCTAGGGCAGATGCATGGGGCTCAGTTGCTACCATTTATCAAGAATCGAATCCCCCGATTGATCAAGTATATATAAAATGAGATCTCTAAATGGACCCCTTATAATTTGCCAGCCTCTGATCTACCAGGATATGGGAGAAAAAAAAAAATCTCCGCTTTTCTTTTTCAGGGCTTGCGGCTCATTTTTACAGATGGTTCTCGCATCATCTTCCGACTGAGTGGCACCGGGAGTGCGGGGGCCACCATTCGACTGTACATCGACAGCTATGAGAAGGACAATGCCAAGATCCACCAGGAACCCCAGGTAAGGCGCAAGCCCTGTGCCCTGGCTAGTTCTTTGGATCGAATGATAGTGGTTTCATTGAGCCTGTGTTATCACAGCCCGTGTCTCAAATGATCGAACACGAGTGCTCAGTTTCCTGCCTGTATGTCATAACAGTATTAATAGCTAACAATTATCTCAGCATTTTCTATTTGCTAAGCTCTGTTCTAAACCTATGATACGGATATATTTATTTCATCCTCAAATGATGTGGACTATTATTCTTACTACAGATAAGGGAACTGAGGCACAGAAAGGTTAAGCAACAGTGAATGGGTTCACACACCTGGCAAGTGGCAGATTCAGGATAAGTAATGTTTAAATCAGCCCCTCAGCTTGTGTTCTGGTCTGTCACTGATCATTTGCCACTTTGCTTGGTCCAATTGCCTTCCCTGGCAGAACACACACTCGAACTAGGTTTGATGGAGAGGGAGAGACGGTTTCATGACCCAGCAAGAAACGTCTTTATGGAAAAGTCCGTGGACTTGCAGCCTGGTGGTTTGGGCTCCTGGTCCCACCCGAAGAGTCTCCAAAAGTATGTCAGGATGAGGAAGGACCACAGAAGCCAGTGGTGGGACACAGACACCCAAATAGAGGAGCCAAGGGGAGGCAGTGACACACAGGGGAGAGTTTCCCCATGTGTGTTCCTTGTCTTGGCAGATGCTCCCCAATCAAAACGCAATAGACAAAGATGTTTAGGAAGTGTTGTGGTCCATTAGCCCCTTCTTGGCAATTCAGAACACACACTGCCCTTTAAAGGCTCTCAGAAGACTTGCCGAAAGACACCTGTTAAATAGCATTCACCTTGCTTATTTTTCCACAAAATGTTTTTTCTTCAAACACCTAACAAAAATCCTGTGAAACTCACTTGGAAACCCCTGGCACAGTGGTTTGGAGCATAGTTTTGGAGTTAAAGAGACCTTGCTTTTAATGCTGTTGCTGCCACATAGCTGTCTGTCCCTGGGTAAGTCGTTTCCATGTTCTGAGCCTTGGTCTGCATGGCTGTGAAATGGCAGAATACTGCCTACTTCCCAGAGTTGTAGGGTTTTAAGGAGACAACGGATGCAAAATTCTAAAAACTGAGTCTGGCACATAGGATTTGCTTTTGAGGAAAAGTGGCTCTTATAATTGTTTTTATTACAAAAATGGGGAAGCGAGAGGTACTACACTTTACCTTTTTTGCCAGGCTCCAGCTTCAGTCATCGCCAGACCCCTGTTGTGTTGCAGGCACCCTTAAAACTTAAACCAGAGGTAATGGTGTCTGCGTTGTAGACCCACAGAGTAATAGAGAAAGAGGAAAGGAGGAAGGAGTTGTGTTTCTTTGTCTTAATGCCTGGCCCACGTGGTAAATGCAAAGAATGAATGAAAGATACGTTTCTTCCGGACCATAATTCTTAGAAGATGGGAGAGCATTGAAAGGTGCGGGGTGCCCCCGATGCCCAGGTGTGTCACCATTCCAGCTGGAAAGACGCCTTCCCTTACTCTGGAGCAGCTGGGCCACAGCCTCGGCACTTGTTGGGGCTGTTGGAAATGGCAAGTGGTGTGGTCAGCACGTGGAGCTGGTCTCCAGCTTTCATCCGGTTATTATGAGTGGGTGGAGATTTCGATGAGGAAAAGCCACAGAGGACAGTAGAAAATGTACTACACTTGGCTCTGCCCTTGAGTCACTTGGTCACATCACCTCTTTGGGTATCTGTTTGCTCATCTGTGCAATAGGTTGTTCAACTAAATAAGTAGTTTTCATTTTTAAAAAATATTAAACATTTATTTAAGCAAAGGCAGAATTTTTTTTTAAGTGAGAGGTGGATGGGAGGGTGGTGGTGTTGCATTTTGAAAAGATCTCTCTGGGTGCAGTGTGGGAAACAAATGGGCAGATGCAGAAGTGGATTTGGAAGCACCGTTGTTCCAGGTAAGAGAGAGGACATTGGTTCAGCAAGACATATGGCACTGGGATGGAAGGAAATTGGAGCCATTGAGAGGTACTTAGGAGATAAAAGAAACAGGCTGGCTGATCGATTGGATCAGGGGCATGTGGGAGAGTAAAGTGTCCAGAATGCCTCTAGGTGTTCATTTGCTTTATGTGATAGACCTTGGTGTCGATTCACTGAAGTAGAGAATGCTGGGACTAAGTTTTGGGGGAAAGAACATGTCTTTGTTTTTAAGCTGGTAGGGTTTGAGGGGCCTTAGGGGTATCTAAGCAGGCTGTCAGACGTGTGAGTCAGGAGCTCAAAGGCAGAGTTAGGGCTGGGGCTGTGGACCTGAGTCTAGAGAAAGTGATGGAAAAGGTTCTCCTCTTTGTGTCTCCCTCAGGTCATGTTGGGCCCACTTATTTCCATTGCTCTGAAGGTCTCCCAACTCCAGGAAAGGACGGGACGCACTGCACCCACTGTCATCACCTAAGGTGACATCGTAGGCCAGATGCAGTACGTCTCTGCACCCCAGGACCCTCCAAGTCACCTGATTGAAGAGCATGGACAGAAACAACGAGTATTCACCCAGGCTTTTTAGGATTTGGTTTTTTCACTAACCAGTTGTTGATGAATGGTACTTTTGCAAAGCACTGCCAATTGAGATGCCCATGGGAGCCATGTGGGAAAGGGGGGAAAAAGACCCAGGGGCTTATGCAAATGCCAGTCCCTTTCATCTCCTTTCACAGCGCTGCTATGACGGTATTTGTCTCCTTAGCACCAAGTTCTGTTTACACTACAATGTAAGATAGAGGTTGAGCATCAGCTAATGAGGCCATTTTCATCCTTAGGATGTGCCAATGAAATGACAGTGCAAGTTCCTTTCTCCTTGGTGAACCTTTCCCCCCATTTATTGTTTACATGTAATCCAGCAAAATGCAATTCCTGGTGCCTTTTCTCCAATCAGTTCTTTCCTCAGAGTGAGACGTACTTGTCTACAGATTTCTGCCTTGTTTTGCAACATAGGCCCATTCACACAAATATTTGGGGATATTAAAGCAAAATAAGCTACTACTTCTTGATGTCTTTTTTTTTTCTTAACTATAAAATGCTTGTTTGACTTCAGAAAGAAAAACAATTTGTTTTTTGTTTTTTTTGAGGTGGGAGGAGGGTATTGTGTTTTATTTGGATGTCCTCACTAGAAAAAAAAAAAATTCTGTGTGCTAGGTTTTAAAATCCTTACACTCAAGACTGTAATTTCAGATCTTAGCAAGGTCACCTGAGCCCTGGATCCTTCTGAAGTGGATAAGGTAAGCTTAACATGGTTACCTTGGAATGAGGAAAGGAAGGTGATTTTCAGGAGATCTTAAATACCAAAGCACTGCCATGTGCCTTGTGGTGCTGAGATGTTAAGATCCCTGTTGACGGGATGGAGGCAGAACTCTCAGAATCCTAGAGCAAGACAACAAGCATTTGGAGTGTTGGAAATCTTGAACCCATTGGCATCTTATTCATCTTAGAACATTTAATCCATGAGTGTAGCATCATGGTTAAAAGCATTGGCTTGGGAGCCAACAGACCTCAATTTGAATCCCATCTGAGACCTTGTGTCACCTTTGAATATCATTCTCCTCATCTTTAAAATGAGGATGAAAATAGTTCCAACTCTAAAGGATTATTGAGAACATTAAATAAGTGGACCTGTGAAAAGCAGCGGGCACAGTATGTAGTTCATGGTAGGTGGTCAAATAAGTGGGAACTAGGATTATGGTGACTATAATCTTGTTTCTAGATTTGTAAATATTGGAAAAACAAAAACTATAACATGAATATATGCAATGCATTTTACGGTTTGCAACGCATTTCCACAGTGTCACCTGGCCATATGGGCCGTTCCAGAGGCAGCCAGCTCTGCGCCCCTCCCCCCCAGAGTGGACTCCCTGTTCCAGGTGACAGGGTCTTTATCTGGGGTGAGATTTCCAATGTTGCCATTTAACAAGGGAGTCCAGCTCAGCAAAAATAACTGAGCTTTAGCAGATGATGAGACGGAGATGAGTTCTTACTGAACATTAAATGCCAGGCATTGTTCTAAGAGCTTTCCGCATACTGTTTAAATATCCCAATAACTCTAGGAGGTAGGTACTCTGAATATTCCCCTTTTACAGATGAAGTCCAGGTACTTGCCCCAGGTTACACCACTAGAGGGTGGTGGCATGCCCCCAGGCAGTGCAGCTCAGCTCTGCATTGTTTACCAGTACAGTAATACCTTGGATTGTGAGTAACGTGGTTTGCAAGTGTTCCACAAGATGAGCAAACATTTCTAATACATTTTAACTTGGTAAACGAGTGATGTCTTGCAATATGAGTAGTTTGTTTCCGGAATGAATTATGCTCGCAAACCAAGGTATCACTATAGTTTGTATTGCCTCATCTACTGACTGGCTACTTCTCACAGGTGGAAGGAAGGTGTGCAAATGCCCCTGTGTTTTACTTATTAAAGGGTGATACAGCGTGCCTCGGGTGCCAGAGACTCTGTTAGTTGTCTCTACAAACCCCCACCAGCCTGCCAAGATCTTGATGTCTGGTTGTATCAGTCAACCAGGAAACATGTATTGACCCACATTAAGTGTGAGATGCCATGGGAAGGAAAGAATGTGTAACGCACAGTTGCTGCCCTCCAGCTGCCTGTAAGACTAGCTGGGGGAATGAAGTCCAGCAGAAATAGGAGACTGTGTAGGATAAGGGCCTTATGAGTCATATGGGCAATACCTGTAGTTAGAATACAGATTTCCCTGGCACCTCTTCTGTTGCAGATTTTGGGCTAGATGCTCTCCAATAACCCTCTACGTGAGGCATTATTATTATTATTTTAGAGTTGCGGCAACTGAATGAAACACAACCAAATCAAGTGCATTGCCCCAGGTTCCCAGCTGTGGCGGAAGGAGAATCTTGACCTGAATCTCACTCCCTTCCCACGACCCTTCTCTCCCCATCTGTTGAATCAGCTGCAGACACTCCCAGGTCTGTGGCCCCTGGAATGGCTTCACAAATTTCCTCCTCGTCTTTGTTCATAATTCAGCTGCTTGCCCTGAGCCCACTTGCTACAGGTTTGGGAGCTAAAAGCTCAGGGTAGGAAGAGGGAGGTGGCCGGGGGCATGGAGCAGTGAGGGTGGGCATGGGTAAGGGCCACCTTCCCTCCCTTTGTGGCTTCCAGAGAGACACCCTGACACATGTGCCCCCCAGGAGTGCTGGGAGATGGGACCCTGAGAGGCTGGCCAGCAGTGTACAGCCACGCTCCCTGCCTCCCAGGACTGAGGTGGTCTGTGAGTCAGGCCTGTTTTCTTGGAGGTGTGGTGATGATTACAGTGAGAAAATTGGGTTGCAGTTGTTTGGGGTCCAACTCTAACATTTCACTTTTCTCCTCCCTCTGGACATTCAGCTCTCATTTCAGAGAAGCAGACTCCTGTTCAGAGATGTTCCCCAGGCCCAAAAGTGGTGAGGTTTCCTGGGGATGGGCCCTGACTCAGAGAGGGAAAGCAAAGGCTGAATTCGCTGTAGTCTAGGAGGGAGGGAGGCCAGGCTTTGGGGCGTGCGTCGCTCTGCCTCCTTGGCCCCCCAAGTGCATTCATGCTGCTTTCTGCTGCATTTCTCGTTGACTCATTAAGCGGAAATTGGCCTTACTATAGAAGAATCCTCCAGATAACATGGCCATGTGTAAGAGACACACCCCTTGTGTTTTCATGCTCCAAACCCCCAGCAGAAGGGGGTGGACATGAGTGATAGCAGCCATCGTGCACGCAGCCACCTCACACCTCATCTTTCCTGGGTTAGAGCAGAGGATTCCTCATGGCCTCTGGCCTTCAATCTTGCCCCGCTCTGAGCCACTCTCCCCATCATCTGCTAAGTGCTCTTTCGAATGCTGACGTCCAAATGGCTTTGTGTAGCCCACAGGGCCATGCAACCTGCCTGCCGCCTCCCCCACCAAATCCCCTCCCCCTCTAGAGCTTATGGTCAGTGCTTCAGCCACATGGAACCATCTGCAATTCTCTGTGAGTCCTGCGCTGTCTTGTCTCCAGGGCTTCGTTCCTACTCTTCTGTCTGCCTGCATCCCCTTTCCCCTGCACCCTACCCTCCACCATGTTCCCCAACTCCTACTTGTCCCTCGGGTCTCCACTGAACCATCGTTTTCTCTGAGAAGCTTTTCCTGAGCACCCTTTTCATGGCACTGTCACACTCTAATAGCCTGTTTACCCATTTCTCCTATTGCCCTGGGAACACATAAAAAGCGTGGATGCTTTTTTGATCAGTGTTTACCCAGGATCTAGCTCCATGCCCAGCACATAGTAAAAGTTCAATAAGCAATTTTTGAAAAGAGTAAATGAAATCTACTAGTTCCATGGCAGAATGTTTCCTTAGGCTGTGACCTCCCCCGCAACCTATGAGGCATGATTATCTTCATGTTACAGGTGACATGTGAGTTGACCAGCTTTCACAGCTAGTGAATACCTAACCAAGAACTTTTTCATAAAGCTTTAGAGGCTGGAGGGGAAAAAATACCCAGTAGAGAGGGTCACGGTGGATACTGGCAGCAGATGGGAGGTAAGTATCATGGTCACTTTGAAGAAAACTTGACTTAAATATGAAAACATATTTAATCCCCATTGCTGCAAAAGTTAATTGGAGAAGTTATTTTTCTTCAGGAAGTAGAATCAACAAAACCAGGCTCAAGCCTGAAACGCCCCCTCTGAGCAGACTCAACAGAAGGGACGCCATGATGGGGCCAGGTTGGGACACCAGTTCTGGGCGTCACACAGGCAGGGCACACAGCATATACTTCTGGAAGGCTTAGAGCTCTTTTCGGTTTCTATTACCAGAGCATGAAACATTCCCACACCTTGGTATATCATTAACACCAAAAAAGTGAGGTCATTGCCGGCCAGAGCATGTTTCATGTCTGTCTGCTTCTATGGGACCTGTGAAGGCTTTGGTTTGGTTTGCACAACATGTGTAAGCTCTACCTAGATCCATTAAGTTGGATCTGTGGGTGTCGACTAATAACTGTTTTCCAAAAAAGCATGTCTTCTGTGATTCAGAGTGCTGCTCTCCAGGTGACAGAAAGGTTAGTCAGGAGTAGCAATCTGTTTGCTTTTCATGACAGTGTTGTTTCATGAAAATTATGTCTCCATTGTTTTCTGACTACATAGTACTGTGATAGGAGGTCTTGAGTTTCTCACAGCACGGTGCTAGCTTCTAAGAGCAAGTGTGCCGGCAGAGCCAGGCAGAAGCTGTATTTTTCTTGCCTACCTAACTTCAGCTGTCATGTGGCGTCACTTCTGCTGTATTTAATTGGTTATGACTAATTAGACTCACTTGGACCAACCCAGATTCAATGGGAGGGGGTAGGGAGTGGGAAGGTCACATTGCACAAAAGCATGGGAGATGGGAACTCCTAGTAGCCATTTGGAAAATATAATCTGCCACATTTCTCAAATTGGTATTTTCTGCAGTAAATGTACCATTCCGAATTACATAGGCATGAGAATGAATTTAATTAGGAAATTATTTTCACCAAGGGCATCCATTTGTCAATTATATAGGTATAGATATTTTTGCTATCATCTCACATCCCCATGCCCATGACAGACATAAATATTCAACTGCCCCACTATTACTCTTAAGCCCAGATAGGGCTTCAGGAACCTCAAAGACAATGCACTAGACAGGAATATTAATGGTAGTGGGGATATAAATGAAACCTTATTTGCCACATCTGTGGAATATTCCTACTTTCTTTCACAAATGTGTAACTAACATTTGTGGGTGTGAAAGCCTATTTGAAAATAGGCCAGTTTGTAAATTGATGAAAAAATATGTGCCCAATATGGAGAGAATTAGTGGTTACTGTTAAATGAAATGAATCACAATTGATTTCAGAAGCAGTACAGAGCATACAAATAAAATTATTTTAATGGTATTTTTAAACTCAGGAGTGAATTAAAGGTTGGTTTCATTATTTTAAGGTCATGGCACCAGCTTTTTTCTACACTTTGGCTCTTTCCATCTGCCACTTTGCAG